ATGTATTTATACATGGAGATCATTTTTCCCCCCTTATGATTTATTATACATGGAGATCATATCCCCCTTATGTATTATACATATTTTATTCATTTTTTTCCCCCCTTATTATTTTTTACATGGTTTTATATTCTTATTATTTTTTTTTCTTTATTTATACATTGTTTTCATATTTATTTTTTTTGTTTTCTATTTTTTATTACTTAATGGAGATCAATTCTCTCCCCCTTTATTTTATGTTTTATACATGGTTAGATCATATCCCCCCTTATTATTATACATGGAGATCATTTCCCCCCTTTTTTTATTGTTTTTTACTCTCTTTTTTTTTGCACTGTTTATCCCCCCTTATGTTTATTATATTTATTTTTTTTATACCCCCTTATTATTATACATTTTTGTTAATTTTTTATTATTTCCCCCCCTTTTTGTTTATTTTATTTTGTTTGTTCATATTTTTTTAATTAATTATTTTTATACATTTTATTTATTTTTATTTATTATACATGGAGATTTTTTATTTATCCCCCCTTATTTTTTTTACATGAGATTTATTTTTTTATTTTATTTTTTTTATTATATATTTATTTTTTTTATCCCCCTTATGTATTTATACTATATTTTCATATCCCCCCTTATCTATTTTTTTTCATTTATCTATTTTTTTTTAGATTTTTTTTTTATATTTTTTTTTTTTTTAACCCTTATTATTTACATGGGAGATCATATCCCCCCTTATGTATTATTCATGGAGATTTTCATTTTTATTTTTTTAATTTTACATGGAGATTATTTTTTCATATATTTATTATGTATTTTTTGGAGATTTTTTATTTTTGTATTAGTACATGGAGATCAATCCCCCTTATGTATTATACAGGGAGTCAATCTTTGTTTTCTTGTATTAATACATGGAGATCATATCCCCCCTTATGTATTATACATATCTTTCCGCCTTATATGCATATCATTTGGCCCCGTATGTAGTCATGCGACTTTGATCATAGCCCTTATGTATTGGTGGAAGATCATATCCCCCATTTGGTATTATACTGGAGTTTCATCTTTCCTTCTGTATTATCATGACAATCCATTCCACCCGCTTATGTATTATACATGGAGATCATATCCCAGCCCTTATTGTATTTACATGAGATCCCCTGCATTCCCCCTTATGTATTATTACATCTGGAGATCATATCCCCCCTTTTGTCCTTATACATGGAGATCATATCCCCCCTTATGTATTATACAGGTTGGTTGTTAATCTTTTCCTCCCCTTTTTGATATTATACATGGATTCGTATCGTTTATATCCAGACCCCCTTGTTGTGTTTATACATGGAGATCATATTCCCCTGAATGCACCAGAAACATGTGAGCATCAAATATCCCCCTTGGTCGTACCCCGATAATGAAGATGATATCCCCCCTTATGTATTATACGGTGGAGTCATAAATCCCAGCCAGTGATTTGGTGTTTCTGCATGAGAGATTCATATCCAAACCAACCTTATGAATTGTACTCATGGGAGATCATATCCCTCCCTTATGTATTATACATGGAGATTCATATCGCCCCATGAACCCTGGGGTACCCTATTATACATGGAGGTACACCAATCCCCGGATTATTATTATACATGCCTCATATCCCCCCTAATGGACTCCCTTCTGGCATAGGGCTAATTCAGGTACGCAACCCTCTAGGTGATCTGGGATCTCATAGCTATTCTCATCCATGCCTCGTATCATGTCGTTAGGGTTTGCCCTTCTCTGTACGTTCTCCAGTTTCCCCAAGGTTCTTTTTTTAGTGAATTGGACCAAAACTTATGATTTATTCATATTTAGATGAGGTCTTAGTATGATTACTACGGGGGGGGTCTGATAAATTATTACAAATATGGCCGGGACACAGTACGTATTGGGTCCATCTCCCCAAATCCGAAATGGGATTTATGGGGATTCTCGATTCTTGGAATTGTCTTATTAAATATATTAAAAAGTAAGGGTTCCGGGAACATTGGAACCCTGGGGGTACCCCACTAATGGGGGGGGCACTGAACCTTGGGGGTACAGACAATTTACTTGATACACTGAACTTCGGTACACCATATGGGGACACTGAATCTGGGGTTCACCACTATAACAATTACTTATGGGGGAATTTTGTTGGGGGCGATGATTACATGAGGGGATCTTGGGCCTCACAACTAATAATAAATTACTATGGGGGATTAATTATATATGGGGGATGAATTACTATGGGGGTACACACTATTAATATGGAGGACCAATATACTTGGGGGGGATGAATTACTATATGGGGATGAATTACTATATGGGGAGGATGAGGATGAATTACTATATGGGGGATAGAATTAATTAATAATTACTATGGGGGGATGAATTACTATATGGGGGATGGGGATGAATTACTATACAGGGGGATGAATTACTATGGGGGTTGAATTACTATAATGATGGGGGGATGAATTACTATGGGGGATGAATTACTTGTATGGGGCGATGAATTATACTCCTGGGGGATGAAATTACTATGGGGGGATGAATTACTATATGGGGGATGAATTATACTAGGATGGGGGATGAATTACTATAATGGGGGATGAATTGATGGGGGACTGAATTACTATAGGGGGATGAAATTACTATATGGGGGGATGAAATTACTATATGGGGGCGATGAATAAGGAATTACTATATAGGGGGGGATGAATTACTATATGGGGGATGATGAATTACTTATGGGGGGATGAATTACTATGGGGGATGAATTACTATGGGGATGAATTACTATATGGGGGATGAATTACTATATGGGGGATGAATTACTATATGGGGGGATGAATTTTACTATATGGGGGGATGAATTACTATGGGGGATGAATTACTATATGGGGGGATGAATTACTATATGGGGGATGAATTACTATATGGGGGATGAATTACTATATGGGGGATGAATTACTATATGGGGGATGAATTACTATGGGGGATGAATTACTATGGGGGATGTAGGAATTACTATATGGGGGATGAATTACTATGGGGGATGAATTACTATATGGGGGATGAATTACTATGGGGGATGAATTACTATATGGGGATGAATTACTATGGGGGATGAATTACTATATGGGGGATGAATTACTATATGGGGGATGAATTACTATGGGGGAATGAATTACTATATGGGGGATGAATTACTATGGGGGGGGGGGATGAATTAATAATATGGGGGATGAATTACATTATATGGGGGATGAATTACTATGGGGGGGGATGAATTACTATATGGGGGATGAATTACTATATGGGGGATGAATTACTATATGGGGGATGAATTACTATATGGGGGGATGAATTACTATATGGGGGGATGAATTACTATATGGGGGGATGAATTACTATATGGGGGATGAATTACTATGGGGGATGAATTACTATATGGGGGATGAATTACTATGGGGGATGAATTACTATATGGGGGATGAATTACTATATGGGGGATGAATTACTATGGGGATGAATTACTATATGGGGGATGAATACTATATGGGGGATGAATTACTATATGGGGGATGAATTACTATATGGGGGATGAATTACTATGGGGGATGAATTACTATATGGGGGATGAATTACTATGGGGGATGAATTACTATATGGGGGATGAATTACTATATGGGGGATGAATTACTATATGGGGGATGAATTACTATAGGGGGATGAATTACTATATGGGGGATGAATTACTATAGGGGATTACTATGGGGGATGAATTACTATATGGGGGATGAATTACTATGGGGGATGAATTACTATATGGGGGATGAATTACTATGGGGGATGAATTACTATAGGGGGGATGAATTACTATAGGGGGGATGAATTACTATATGGGGGATGAATTACTATATAGGGGATGAATTACTATGGGGGGATGAATTACTATATGGGGGATGAATTTACTATATGGGGGATGAATTACTATGGGGGATGAATTACTATATGGGGGATGAATTACTATGGGGGATGAATTACTATGGGGGATGAATTACTATAGGGGGGATGAATTACTATGGGGGATGAATTACTATATGGGGGATGAATTACTATATAGGGGGGGGATGAATTACTATGGGGGGATGAATTACTATGGGGGATGAATTACTATATGGGGGGATGAATTACTATATGGGGGATGAATTACTATATGGGGATGAATTACTATATGGGGATGAATTACTATGGGGAAGCTAACTGCACGATCCTGTATATAGCATTAAGGTAAGAAACAATATATGCAGTGTCGGATTTGTTTTAAATGTTGCAATGGTTTTGCGGCTCCCAGTCTTTTTTTTCCCTTCGGAAACGGGTCCAAGTGGCTCTTTATGTCTTAAAAGTTGCAGACCCCTGCCCTAGACCATTCAGAGTATGAATCATTAACCACTACTCTCTTAATACGATCTTTCAGGCAGTTTTCTATGAATTTACATATGGATTTCTCCAAGCCTGTAGACCAGGGGTCCTCAAATGGTTTAAACGGGGCCAGTTCACGGACCTTCACAATGTTGGGGGACTGGACTATAGTTTGAAAAAAATATGAACAAATTCCTATGCACAACGCACATATCTTATTTGTAGTGCAAAAAAAACAGGAAAAAACAATACAATATTTAAAATGCACTGTACACTAACACACTGGACACCACAATGCACTGTGCCTGGTGTACGCTCCTCCTCTCCTGTTGCTCCTCTGGCTGCAGCAGGTGAAATCCGGAACTTCCAGGCTGCCGCTCACTGGGTCCTCACAGCCGAGGACCCAGTGAGCAGCCTAGTTATTTGCCGGCCGTTGCCATTTTTTTTTCCGGTTGGCCAGATAAATGTCTTTTGGCTTGCTGTATCCAGCCCACAGGTCATAGTTTGAGAATGTCTGCTGTAGACTTTGTCAAACGCTTTTGCAAAATCCAAGTATACCACGTCTTCCGCCACCCCCCTGTCCAAGTATACCACGTCCACCGCCACCCCTCTGTCCAAGTATACCACATCCACAGCCACTCCTCTCTCCAAGTATACCACGTCCACCACCACCCCTCTGTCCAAGTATACCACGTCCACCACCACCCCTCTGTCCAAGTATACCACATCCACCGCCACCCCTCTGTCCAAGTATACCACGTCCACAATCCCCCTCTGTCCAAGTATACCACGTCCACAGCCACCCCTCTGTCAAGTATACCACGTCCACCACCCCCTCTGTCCAAGTATACCACGTCCACAGCCACCCCTCTGTCCAAGTATACCACGTCCACCGCCACCCCTCTGTCCAAGTATACCTTGTCCCACCATCGCCCCTCTGTCCAAGTATACCACATCCACCGCCACCCCTCTGTCCAAGTATACCACATCCACAATCCACCCCTCTGTCCAAGTATACCACGTCCACCGCCACCCCTCTGTCCAAGTATACCATGTCCACAGCCACCCCTCTGTCCAAGTATACCATGTCCACCGCCACCCCTCTGTCCAAGTATACCATGTCCACCCCCACCCCTCTGTCCAAGTATACCCATCCACGCCACCCCTCTGTCCAAGTATACCATGTCCACCCCCCACCCCTCTGTCCAAGTATACCATGTCCACCGCCACCCCTCTGTCCAAGTATACCACATCCACCGCCACCCCTCTGTCCAAGTATACCACATCCACCACCACCCCTCTGTCCAAGTATACCACGTCCACAATCGCCACCCTCTGTCCAAGTATACCATGTCCATCCACCCCTCTGTCCAAGTATACCACGTCCCCATCCACCCCTCTGTCCAAGTATACCACGTCCACCCCTCTGTCCAAGTATACCACATCCACAACCCCCTCTGTCCAAGTATACCACCCCTCTGTCCAAGTATACCACCCCTCTGTCCAAGTATACCACATCCACCGCCACCCCTCTGTCCAAGTATACCACATCCACCGCCACCCCTCTGTCTAAGGTTTTGCTCACCTCCTCATAAAAAGAAATCAGATTTGTTTGACAACTTCTGTCTTTCATGACTCCACGCTGTCTGTGGCTTAAAATATTTTTTCCAGCAAGAACTTATCTATGTGTCTTTTATTAAACTCTCCAATATCTTCCCAACTATAGAAGTTACACTAACAGGTCTATAATTACTTGGGAAAGATTTTGACCCCTTTTTAAATATTGGCCCCACATTGGCCTTACACCAATCCAGTGGTACTATGCCAGTCATTAAAGAGGCCCTAAAAATGAGAAACAATGGCTGTGAAATGACAGAGCTGAATTCTGTAAGGCCCCCGTGGGTGTATGCCATCCGGTCCACAGGGGCTTTATTCACCTTTATTCTGTCTAAATATTTCTGGGTCATATCAATCGTGAGCCAATGTGGATCATCTGGAGGGGGTGTCAGTACCACGCCCATTATGGACAGAGCCCCCCCATGTTCCTTTGTATACACAGAGCTGAAGAAGGGATTTCATACATTGGCCTTCTCTTTGTCCCCAGTCACCCCCTCTAGATGGTTCTGTAAAGGGCCTACATGCTCGGACCGGACCTTTCTACTATTCATATATTGGAAGAATTTTTTAGGGGGGTTGGTCCTGCTATCTTTTGCAATCTGTTGTTCATTTTCAATTTTCGCACCTTTATTTCCTTTTCACATCTTCTGTTATATTCAGATTTTGCACTCACTGAAGTATACTCCTTGCAGGATATTAGTAAAGTAATTATTTGGTCAAATAGAACTAATCTAAATAAAATCCCAATGGAATCAGAACAAGAAAACACCTGATTGTAATACAGTGAAACTCCTGCTCCCTAAAATGGAATTTGCCTGAAAACATGATTGGATGATCTTATATTAAATGTAAATATGAAATTACCGAATGTATCTGTTCACATTAAATTATCATAACTACAATATATATAATGGAAGCTTCAGATCTCAGGCAGAGATAAGGGTGTCAGGGAGGTTCCCAGGATTGCAGCAAATCTCTTGGGGGCCTTTTGATGGAAAGAAATAAAAGCTACTTGATCATTTTTAAATGAAAGGTTTGTTGACGAACGTTAAGAGCGCTGATGCAGGCCACATAAATATGCACTCTTGTAAGCAATAAGCATGTGTGTGTGTAAATAAGTGTCAGTGACCAGTATGTACTGCCAATGGCTGAAATAACTGCAGGTCAATCAGACACAAGGTTTATCTCTGACCCAAGTGTATCATGATCATGTTTCAGGATCCTTTTCCCAATGTGGACACAGCTTACAAGCAAAAACTGGACAAGGAGAGCCAGCGTGATCTGAATGTATTCCTGGAGCAGAATGGCACCAACCTGTTCTTTCTAGAGCTGCATCAGATGATCCTGCTGAAATTAAGTCAGAAAAAAAGTGCAGATGATTTCCAACCTTCGTGGATGTAAGTGACTTTCTGTGCTTGCTGGGATGTATTTCTTCTCTTAGTCTAGTATTACCTACAGTTCAAATGGTAAACGTGACAACTGTGTATGGCAGCAACAGCCAACTGCTCTCAGGGAATTGGTCATACAGATTTGAAACATTATTTGATCACTACAAACAATACATATAAGCTGGAAATCGCAGCCTATATCTCCACGCTAAAGTGGTGGTGAAAGTGTAACACAAATATTAAATGGTAAAACAAAGCAGTCGTTTTAACCTCCCTGGAGGTATTCCCGAGTGTAGCTCGGGGAAAGGTTTCAGTACCAAAAGCGGTAACCCCGAGCTACACTCTGGCTTACCATGTGGCGCTGCTCTGCGATCCCTCAATCACTTACCTTGTCCTGCGCTCCCGCGATGTCCCTCCTGCAGTGTCCCCGGCAATGTCCTCCGGCCGATGCAGGCATCTGTCGTCTGGGTTCCGTTTCCTGCGACGTCGGGACGTACGGGGGACGGAACTGGCAGGAAATGTAAAAATGTGAAAAAGTGACATTCACTAAATACACTAAAATCACATCGTATAACATTCCTGTATCAAACCATTTCACATACATTTTGTCCCGAGTGCTTTGTCCGGCGACCTGCCTGCATTTTTACCGCCCTTTCTGCCTGGAAACTGAGAAACGTCCATGGTGTCCCTTTAGCGTCCTTTAGGTCGCGGTTTTAGACCGGCTAGAGAACAGCGATAGTAAATCAGAACCACTTGCAGAATTGAGTGATAATGATTCGTGGGGGAAATTCCTCATCAGACACTGAAAACGATTCTGCGACTGAGCTCAGCGATGGCCAACTTGGCGCTCTATTTCACATTTCAGTGTTTTTGGTTTGATTATATTATTGAATTACATTTATTATTATTATATTATTATTTTTTATTATTATTTATTATATTATAATTAATGATTTCATGTTTCAAATTTTATCATATCCGGAATGTTTACTAGACTCTTGTTTGGACAGATTTCAGTGAGTTATTCCTAAATATTACAGCCTACAATAAAAAAATACATATTTCCATGCAAAAAAAATGTACCGCTTTGAGCACAGAAATATGGACATAATCAGACCACTAGGGAGGTTAAATAACTAATACATCAATATACAGTGACTAGAAAGATTCACATATACAGCGCTCTGTCATAATAAATTGCCATAAAGAAAGGAATCTACCATAAAACAATAGCCAATCAAAAATAATTAAAAAGGAAATACTAAAGAAACTGCCACCAAAATAGAACATGTGAAAAAGTTCAGTTCCTTTCAGTGATGTGATATCTCTTTAAAGCAGCATTGATCCTTCTGGGATAAAGTTAGGACTGGACCCAGAAGTGTGTCTACTACATAGTACAGAGTCATCAGTAAATAAATACAAGGACTCGGGTATATGGTGCTATCTGAATGCAGCGAAGGGTCTGATACCTAGGTTTTGGCATAGACCAGAGGTGCCGAAGATAGAGGATTGGGTGGAGAGAACGAATCAGATATGTAGGATGGAGAGATTGTATTACATGCAAGAAGACAGGATGGGGTTATTCTATAAGAAGTGGAGAAAATGGGAAGAATTTATGGTGAAAAATATATGAAGTAGCAGTGTGAGAGAGATGGAAGTATTTATATATTGTATATTCTAGTTGAGAAAAGAGGGAATAGAACAATGCAGAGTGGGTGGGTTTATAGGGGGGGAGGGAGGTTTTATTTGGGGAGGAGGGAAAAGATAGGGGGGGGGGGGGGTGGTAATGGGAATAAAGATAGTATAAAATGTAATTAATGATCTGGAAATGGTTTTTGTATGAGAATAATGATGAAATATGTACTATATATGTAAAATAAATAAATATTTAAATTAAAAAAAAATAAAGCAGCATTGATCCACCATCCCTGTGATCCTGCAGTCATTATCAACCCATTGAATTCAACATTCTCCAGAAGCTGGTGAATAACCAGCAGTGGAAACTCAGTAGAAAATCAATCGCCTTAATGCTGAATGGTTGTGAAAACGACAATTGGATAATCAGCCAGCAACCCAAAACAACCTCCAATCAATGGCTTATGAATCGCTTGTGCTCCGATCTCCTCATCATCCCGATTAGATGATATCAATAATATCAATCAATATATGGGCAAAGTAAAACAGCCACATAGTGTGATACTGTAAACATATTTATTGCCTTAAACAACCCCCCCTTTGAAATGCCTTCACATTGAGTAAAAAAGTAATGCACATTGTAAGCATGCCCTTCCAATAAAATGGCCGCCGTTAGTACAGCTGGTGACAGTCTCACCACACACTGGTTCCTATGGACTCCCAGCAACAGCGGTTATGTGATCACACCACATGGTCCCGGCATGCGTGCTGACGCCACAGATGGTCACGCCCTGAACTATTTCACATTTTTTATTTTGGTGGCAGTTTCTTTAGTATTTCCTTTTTAATTGTTTTTGATTGGCTATTGTTTTATGTTAGATTGCTTTCTTTATGACAATTTATTATGACAGAGCGCTGTATATGCGAATCTTTCTAGTCACTGTATATTGATTATCTGATCTCTGTTTCTTCTTGATGAGCTGGCACTGCAGGATGTCTAACTGGGATTTGTCCTACTTCCTCAAAGTTCCATTTCTTAGTGCATATACATTCGGAAACAGAAGTGTGCATGTTCAGTGGCCAGCCAACAGACATACCTTTGGGTGGTCTGATCTTTTTTTTTTTTTTTCCAAAAAAAAAATGTTTTTATTGGAAAGAAAACAGGCATAACAATGCAATACAGTTATGGATCCAAATCTGAACAAAACATAGTATGTCGCCTCCCATTGCGCAGGTGGGTCAAAGCATAAAAGGCAATACAGAATATAACGGTGTAAGACATTATGACAACATATTACAATCCAGGAAATGTACAGAGTGTAGGAGAGAAGCAGGGAGATATATTGTCTTCTGACCTATGAGCAGGATTTTTGGGGTGGTCTGATCTTGCCTACACAATGACTTAGTATGTCTGGCTTTAGTATTGCATAGTACAGATATCTGTCCTGTTCTTCCAACATGCTTTTATCTTCTATTACAGTGCTATAACTATGTGTAATTGGACCCCATGGAAAAATCAGTGAGGGCTCCCAATCTCTCCAATCTTCATGGACTAGAGCACCAGAGATAGGTCATCCAAATCCCCCCCCCCTTTTAGCTATACTTAAAGGAAAACATGACACCAATTTTCGAGTAAAATGGCCAACACGGCCTTTTATTAACAAACATTTTAACACCAACCATTCCTTATAACAGAAACATACAGAGTTGTTGTTGTTGGTCTTTGAAGGCACCCCCAAAAATGATCTGAAATGCACCTGCGGACAACCATATACACTAGGCCTCCAGCCGCAACCAACCAGCTCGGAGACAACCATACCGTCCGCAGTGCAGCACCACCACCTTCCAGTTAAACCTTGGTTAACTGGGAATGTTCCCGGGCATCCCATACCACGGATGGGGTCCCACACCATTGTTGTTTACCTTCCAAATAA